ATTTAATATAAAAAGATCGATTTACTTAATAAAAACTTAGCAAAAATAATATTTCATTGTACCGCCATTACTTTCGCCAGGGACTGTAACCTTTTTTGTTGTCTTAAAAATATATTTATATATAAAATTCTAATTGTAAATTACAAAAAAGTGAGCAAGGCATTAATAATGAAATCATCTATAGATTTATCAGTTTATATATTTTTTTATTACTTTTATATTACAATTTATGATCAATAAAAAAACATAGTATGTATATATCTATTTGTATTATTATTTATTGTTATATGATTAATATCTAATAATGATGTTGTTGTCATTGATGATTGTAAAAATTAGTTATAATATTGTATAGTATAAAAAGCTGACTTAGTTGTAGTTGATGTTGATGTTGATGTTGATGTTGTTGGCATAGTCGATGTAATAATGAAAAGATTGAGAATTATTATAAGGATTAATATTGTTATAAGTTGTGTTAGTAGCAGTATTCACCGATTGGTTGATTGAAGTAGTAATCATCACTATATCAGCGGCATTGATAGCAGTGGCAACTTGTGTCCTATCATTTGGATTGACTTCGATTTCAAATTTATTATTATAGTTATTATTGATATTATCAATACAATATTCATCATCAAGATTATCGTCACCATCATCATCAGTACTATCATAAAAATCACTACTATTATTATTGTTATGATAATAAATATTATTATAAAAATAATCACTACTATTACTATTATCATCATCACAATCATCATCATCACTGCTTAATTGTGTCATGTCGAAATTTTTAATTCCATTATTATTAACACCCTCTTCATCATCACTGCTAATTAATGTTATACCAACATTATTAGAACTACCATTTCCATATTCTTCCTTTGTAATTTGCATAAAGTTTTGGTTATAAATAGCATCAGCAGCATATTGATTTCTATTTTCATGATCATCGTCATAATATTTTTCATCTTTTATAACATAATCACTGTCTTCACTAGTAGATGCGTCAGCATTATTTTTCTCGTAATCTTCATCTACTGTATCATCATCATCATCATCATCATCATCATCATCATCATCATCATCATCATCATCATCATCATCATCATCATCACTATCATCGTCATCAGTAGTAGTAGCAGCAGCAGCAGGTTTATTGCCATAAATAGGAAAACTGACAGATTCTAATTTTGAGGTTTTTAATTCCTTAGTTTCATTATCAGCATCATAATCATTGTCTTGATCACAGACATCAAAGTCACGCTTATATGGTTGGTACATTATTCTATAAAATCAATGACAATATTGTATAAATTTATTAGAATTATTAGAATTGGTAATTAATTAGTAATAATAATTATATTTACTTCAAGCAACTAATGCTATGATTTCCAAACATTTCTAAAA